TACTTAATGTCCATACTGTTTATTAAAAAGCAATTCCGCCTGAAGACCCTCCAAGGCTACTATCAGCCGCAAGTCAAGATCAACGAGGTTTGGGCTTCAAGTTGGTGACCTCACCCCGTAGAAACCTACCTCGCTAAAGAAAAAGCTAACAGTAAAAACTAATCCACACCATTTAAGCTGTACTCAGGCCGTTAAGAATACAAAATATTCGTACTTCTCTAATATTTGATCATAGACGTCTTAAAGGCATTGCTAGTTCATCATGGGACAACAGAGTAAGCAATGTTATCATTAGGAATTCAGTACTCTGTAGGGATAGCAAATCAATAAATGCTAATGCGGTATAGCAACATGAACTGATGTACTTACGTAGTAAGTTCTACGTTGTATCTGTCTGTCTATCTATCTGGGTCTTACTTTCCAGTTCTACGCAATCGCTTTTCATTCTTTCTGACTGACTCTGCGAGTTACGACATCTCATGATGAAAGCTTAGTTCCTTTGCAATCAGTGTTCGGACCCCGACCGAAGCTGCTACCTTGACGTGGTGAACGAGCTTGCCTATCGTCCGACAACAGTCGTGTTCCTGGACCTAAAAGCGGCATTTGACTCGGTGGATCGGGAGGTTCTGTGGCAGTGTCTGTCATTGAAAGGTGTACCAACTTTATACAAGCACTCTACCCGAATACTACTGGTCGGGTGAGAGCTTATGGCGAACTGTCACCGGAATTCTCTACGTCAAGTGGTGTCCGTCAGGGCTGTCCACTCTCTCCATTCTTGTTTAACTTTGTCGTAGACATCCTCTTAGAGTTAACATTAAGCTCGTTAGACTTTTCAGGGGTTGACCTTCTACCAGGAGAATCGCTTACTGATATAGAATATGCCGATGACATAGTTCTATTCGGTGAAGAAGCTGACAAAATGCAGTCTTCTGACTACCATCAGCAACAATGAAGTCACTGTCAAGTGGACTGAGTCATGTTGGTAGATATAAGCTACCTGATTGGGGTTCGCGAGACGAAAGTCACCAATGGTTGGAGACCTTGAACGACATGGCTAAGAATCGTTTGCAATGGCACAAGGGCATCCATTCGTTGAGCTCTCTCAAATCCTAATACTCTGGATTCCTCAGCACCTCTACCTTTGTCTTTCTAACCTTATCTCACTGAATTATACTTCTTGAATAATATCTTCAAACCGTAGTCTTCTTCATCACCATTAATACCTCTACTATCTCTATCGCTATGGGATTTGATTTGACATTTGCCTCTTTGTGCGGTGGTATGGCAACATGAACATACGTACGAAGTTCTACGTTGCAACTGACTGACTGGTTGGAGACTCTGAGTGATATGGTTTATTTTTGTTTCCAATAAACCAAATACACTCTTTCATTAAATCTATTGCTCAGCAGTTCTCTGCGTTCTATTATATGAATGCGAAACAGCCGATCAGAGTTGAGGATATTCTCAGGTTATTAGTATTCGATTATAGATGTCGTCGAACTAATGCTTGTGTATCCTGGAACAGCTAAATAAGCAACGCTTTAGTTAGAAAACGAGTACTAGGTTGGGATGGCAAATCAACAAATGAAGTATTGAAACTTAATCAGTTCAGGTGGTTGGGACATACCTGGAAGAGCGATATTTTGTGACGCGGGAGCAGGTTGGAATAACGCTAGCCGAAGCCAAACCAAGACATGACACAAATCCATGAAGTCATGTTGGTAAGTGTAGACTACTTGTTTGTGAACTGTGAAGCAATAATAATCGATACTCAGAGACCTTGAATGCCATGGCGTAAAATTGTTTGCAATGGTGCAGGTTCACCCATTCTTTGTGTCCTCTCAAATGCTAATCTTCTGAATGTCTTATGACCGTTTTTCCCTTTATATAACTGATTCCTCTGGGATATACTTCTTTAACGATATATTCGATCAATAATCTTTTTGATCACTGCATCACCAAATATACGAAGAGTACTATTTTTGGAAGTACAATCCTATTGGTCGAAATTATGGTCGTTTTAACTGTCAAAGTCAAATACTTCAATGATGTCTCTGATTGGTCTTCTGGACTGTCAATGTCATTTCAAATGTTCTTTCCCTATTGGCCGTCCTAAAGTGTCAATGTCACAGATGTTGATGCTCTTTCTTATTCGACCTTAATGTATAAATACGCACTATCTGAAAGACTTAATAATTCCGTTTCTCCTGCCTACCTCTTCTTCTGTATTCGACCCAATAAACAACTCCATCCCACGGTGTTGCGTTCTGATATCTAGGAGATTTGGAAATAGCATTTTCGGTCGTATTGAGATATTTGAATTGGACGCCGCTAGAACTGAATAGCCATACACGTAGCAGCGTTACAACACTACTGCTATGGTTTTCGCATCAACAATTACGTCTCTGTGTGCTAATGTGGTATGGCAACTTGAACTAATGCACGTACTTATGAAGTGCTACGTTGTAACAGACTGACGGACATTAAAGTATGAGCTTCTTTTCATTCACTGTCCTTTAAACCAACTTACCTGAGACAGCAAGACCTCAAATACAAGTCATTTCAACTACTAGTTGATATCGCTCAAATAATGCATCACATTAGAAACAGTAATACATCCATTGTAGCGTATTATTGATATTGCTATTCGTCATAATATGCCGCCATGTCAAGTGTAGACAAGCACACGCACATACACACACACAGCATGACGGATTATTTATCTTTTTCCGCTTAGAACAACACAAACTACATGTATACACAAATATAAAAAGTAAAAAGTCCACAATTCCAACACATGCATACATGTACGCATAATACGCGCGCACATACAGCAGCAGCACAGTGAAACATTATTATTATTTTTCTTTACAAAGTTTTTGTTTCTGTAAAGTTTAATGTGTAGAGTCCAAAGAGTTAGTTAATTGGGAATCAGTTAAAAGTTAAATGCATTAATAAAAGTGAATGGACACCCAGGTTCAATGCAGCCGTCCGTCTGTATGTGTATGTATGTATGTGTAAGGGAGACAGAGAGAGAGACAGTAAGAAAAAGTAGACAAGTGTAGACAAGGTGTAGCACAGTAATAAATATGACGTAACAAATGAAGAAAAAGAAAATTATCCAAAAAAGGAAAGAAAACTGAAACAAAACGAAACAAAACCAAAAACACAGAATTTCTGTTCGCACATTTTTAAAACAATAAGAAAAAAAACACATGGCCTTGATCTACTCTAATTTTTTTCTCTCTGTTTTTCTCTTTCTACATTCATTAAGATTTTCATTAGATTAGATTAGATTAGAATGTCAACTTTTTACATTGTTCCCATGGAAATTCCGATCGACCAAAATGACCATAAACAGCTGTTTGTAAATAACGCGGTGTACGAAGATCCAAATCTCTATTGGAATTGAAGAGAAAAAAAAGCCATGAAAGAAATGAGGCAACTGTTAGGATATAATCCCTCCAATATCCTAAGAGAATTAATTATTGGTCAATTGCTATTGGTTCATTCCTACTGGTCAATTTTATGATCGTCCTAGTAGATATCAATATCACGTGCTCCAATGTTGTTTCTTATTGGTTGTCCTGACTATCAATGTCAATTCAAATGTTGCTTCCTATTGGCCGTTTTAACTTCCAATGTCACGAGACTTTGATGCTGTTTCCTATTCGACCAAAATGTTTAGATACGCATTATGTGTGACGTTTTATCACCAGGACCCGGTCCCGGATCCTGATTCTCTTCTGTACTCGGACCTCGTACTTTCTGGATGCTTGTAGAATACAGGTTCTACTTCATATCAAGTCTTGTCTTCTTTTACTCAATATGGGAGTTGGGATAATCGGATTTTAGTAAGTCGTGTCGCCGGATTCTGTATCCTCGCTCTCGTTTTCCGACTAGGTAAAGTCGTAATAGTGTAGTGAACGAGAACATAGGTGGGGCAACCGAAAATTACAGAGTTACTCAGTAAAATCGGAAAACCGTATCGTAAATTGTTCATTTGCAAAATATCAGTTCATCATATCGAACTGGACTAACTGTTCCTGTTGCAAAACATCATCAATCCATTGTCACTCACTATTCATGCGTTTCATACAAATTCGATTGTGTTCTAACTCTTCCTTTCTTGATCTTCCCCCATCTTCTGCTGCCAGACATTACGTTGACACTCACGTCATATACTACTTATAAGTAGCTCACACCACAAAAGTTCAAGCATGATCAAGTTGACGTGTTTCCACGTGCAGGCATAACAGCAACATGATGTTTGTTATGTTATACAGAGAGATAAAAATCACATGCATGGTATGCAATCAATTGTATACTGACTTACTTCACAATTACACCAGGTCGTAAATCGAAATTATTCACAATAATATCCAACAGTTTTTTATCACTCATTTTTCCAGTACCATAACTGTTCACATTAATAGCTAATGGTTCTGCAATGCCAATAGCATAGGAAAGCTGAAAATAGCAGACAACAACAACAAATTGATAAACATTTACAAATAGTTCGTACAAAGACAGCGGATGAAGTGTTATCGTTTTGATTTACTAGCTGTTCCGATGAAATTGTTTTCCATCTTGATAGTCAAGGTTCTTACTTGAATAACACAAAAATGCACACCTGTAGTTGCTTCATTGAGGTTTACGCTTGAGGTTTTCTCCACCTCAAGGTTTTCCCCCTCGAAATGCAAAATGTTGTTTCAAGACTGGGTTGCATCAGCACCTGAACTAGTGATAGGGAGTGAAGTAAGCGAGCGTGTCGATCACTTCACTTATCTGGGGAGTCTCGTCGGTGCCGAAGGTCTGATGACTGACGAAATATCAGCACGGATACAGAAGGCTCGATTGGTTTTTGCCAACCTGCGTCACTTATGCCGTAGGCGAAATATCCGTTTACTGACTAAAGGACGAGTGTACTGTGCAGTGGTTCGCTCCGTCTTACTTTATGGTTGTGAAACATGGCCAGTGAGAGTAGAAGATATTCATAGGTTATTGGTTTTCGATCATCGGTGTCTTCGAAGCATTGCTCGTATATCCTGGGACAACCGAGTGAGCAACGCTGTTATTAGGAAACGGGTGCTAGGTAAGAATAGCAGATCAATAGATGAAGTGATGAAACTTCATCAGTTTAGGTGGTTGGGACATGTGCTATGTATGCCTAACCACCGACTGCCACGACGAGCTTTGTTTTATAGTGTAGGAATAGGTTGGAAGAAAGTTAGGGGCGGCCAGACCAAAACATGACAGAAATCCATGAAGTCATTGACCAGTGAACGTAGCCGTGTCGGTAATTGTCGACTACCTGGTTGAGGTCCGCGAGATGATAATAATCGATAGTTAGAGACCTTGAATGACATGGCTCAAAATCGTTCGCAATGGCGCCGATGCATTTATTCTTTGTGTTTTCTCAAATCCTTATCTTCTGGATTCTTGTTTTGACTTTTTAAACTTTTCTCACTGAATCATACTTTTTGAATAATATCTTCTAATCCTAACCTCTCCGATTACTTCTAATACCTTTACTACCTCTTCTACTACTATTGGATTTGAATTGACAATTATATCTGTGCTGATGTGGTATGACATTTCCAAACCAATAGTGGTAGAGATAGTAGAAGTATTAGCGGTTATGGAGAAGATTACGGCTGGAAGATATTATTCAAGAAATATAATTCAGTGAAATAAATTTAGAAAGAGAAAGATAGACGTGATAAGGAATTCTGAAGATCAGGGGACAACTGTTTGAGTCCAGTCACGCACGGCCTTTTTATAAGAAATTGTTAAAGTGTTAAAAGGCCTTACCGCCAGAGACGGAAATCCATAAGGTAAGTATGATATTTTTAGGGTAGACCTTTTCTAAGCCCAACCGTCCTTGTGAGAAGGCAGCATCGCTGCAGATCATGGTTGCCCAACGGAAACAACTTACTGCTGTTACACCTCTGTGCAACCAGCAGTACGACTTCACCCTCAGACCTTCAGTAGCTGTTTTTAGTCTTATCGTTCTTCAGTCGACCTGCCTGGCATGGTAGAACCTTCAGGAACATATGTGTTCCAACCAATATAGCTGGGTTGGGTCATCACGAAAAAATAAAATGAGGCTACAAAGGAGATGACAGCTTCATTGAATAAAAACAGCAATTAGATTCTATGAGAAGATTGGAAAAAAAAGGATTTTTGATTGATTACCTGAACTAGAACACGTCGACAAAGACCAGCTTTAACAAGGGATTTAGCTACCCAACGTGCTGCATATGCTGCGGATCGATCAACTTTAGAATAATCTTTCCCAGAAAATGCTCCACCACCATGTGCACCCCAACCTCCATATGTATCTACAATGATTTTTCTACCTGCAAAGAAAAACAAAATAGTCAAGTAAACGAAATGAAGAAAAATCTACACTTGTTTTAGATCAACTATTATCAATTCTATAACAGTGAATATCATGCAGATAGAATATAAAAACACAAGGATTACGTAACGATTACACGCTAGTGTTAATTCAATCATAAGCAATGTACACAGAGATACCATATAACCTAACTCAAGTCTCTCTTATAGTCGCGGAAAAATGAAAATTTCGCGTATTGCGAGAAAATAACACATTACCTGACATGATATAAAGAGTAATAAGAGTGTTTGAGTTCATTTGCATTAAGCTGACCTGCATCTCTTGCTATCATCCTATGCATATACAATATGCTATGCTGCTTACTATGTAGAGAGCTGAAGTTGTTTTCCTATCAGACTAAAGGTTCGCTGTGAACATTGTGCATGGCTTGCTTGGCATTGCTTTGGAAAGTATTGTTAACAGTTCATATACAAATATAGTTAGCACAGTGACCAATTTTATTGATACTAGTGGTTGTTTCGCAAAATTTCCGAAAATCGTTGTCATTAGGATACTTGCTGTATTGCACATGTCACCATTACAAGTAATAATAATGAGTTTGATAGGTCATGTTACCGGCATGGGTCGAATTGGCCTGTTGTTCATGTGGCGGATATTGACCGTGACACGATCATGGATCGGAAATAATCACTATATAGGTCATCATTATCAACAGGAACGTAGAAATTTGCACGTAAGTAAATCAGTTCAAGTTGCCATACCAAATTAGCATAGAGATGTAATTTTCAGTTCAAATCCCATGGCAGTGGAGGCAGTATTAGTATTAGATGTAATTGGAGAGATTGGGGTTCGAAGATGTTATTCAAGAAGTTTAATTCAGTGAGGTAAATTTAGAAAAAGAAAGATAGAGGTGATGAGGAATTCAGAAGTTTAGAATTTCATAGAACAGAAAGAGTAAATACACCTGCGCCTTTACAAACGGTTTTTAGCCATGTCATTCAGGGTCTCTAACCATCGATTATTATCATCTCGCGGACCCGCCAACCAGGTAGTCGACAATTACCGACATGACTCAGTCCACTTGTCAGTGACTTCATGAATTTGTGCCATGTTTTGGTTTGACCGCCAATAGCTTTCTTCCAACCTACTCCTACACCACAAAACATAGCTCGTCGAGGCAGTCGGTGGTCAGGCATTCGTAACACATGTCCCAACCACCTCAACTGATGAAGTTTCACACTTCATCTATTGATCTGCCATCCTTACCTAGTACTCGTTTCCTAACGACAGATTGCTTACTCGGTGTCCCACGATATACGAGCAATGCTTCTAAGACATCTATGATCGAAATACTAGTAACCTACGAACATCTTCTACTCTTAACGGCCATGTTTCACAGCCATATAAGAGAACGGAAGCGAACTGCTGCACATGTCACCATTACAAGTAATAATAATGAGTTTGATAGGTCATGGGTCGAATTGGCCTGTTGTTCATGTGGCGGATATTGACCGTGACACGATCATGGATCGGAAATAATCAATATATACGTCATCATCATAATCAACAGCAACGTAGAACTTTGCACGCAAGTACAACAGTCTAAGTTGCCATAAAACGTTATAGTCAAAAAACGTTAAAACCGTACCATTAAGGAGGCAGCTAGTGACCAGTCCAGTGAGTTAGCAACTCGTAGAGACAAGTCATTGTCAATTCAAATGCCTATCATGGTAGATAGTATAGTGTTACATGCTAATGAGAAGACTAGGATTCGAAGATATTATTCAGAAGTATAATTCTAGTGAAGATAAGTTAGAAAGACAAAGGTATAGGTGATGACGAATCCTAGAAGATTGAAGATTTGATACTCAAAGAATGGATGAACCTGTGCATATTGCAAACGATTGACCATGTGGTCAAGGTCTCTAACTGTCGATTTCAGTCTCGTGACCCCAACCATGGTAGCACTTACGCGTCCAC